CAAAGTAGCCAAAGTGCGGCAACAAAATAATGTAAAACAGAAGTAAATACGGCTTCTCGTTTAAGGCAAGTGGTAGATAAGGTTCTGGACGCCAGCGACCGAGTTTAGCTGACGAAGAAAGGAGAACTGTCTTAGGCCACGTAGCCAATGAGCACGCGCGGAGGGCTGTCAAGGTTATACCTCAAAATGTATATTGTATTCAATGCAATGGAAGGCGGTCAACAGTAACTGGTAATTGCAGATTCTGGAAAAAATGGTGGTTTTACCCCAAGTACGTAATTCTTCGATGTTTTGAGATAGAAGATGTACTTTTTATACTGCAGAATATCGTAAATAAAATAAGATAGTACTGGGTAAGAATGTGGGAGGGAAAAACTCGATTTTTATCCCGAAAAACAGGTAAGTAATCAAATAATTCAGGATCAAGCAGGGATTTGTACAGGAAGCTAATTTTTGTCCCGAATAGAAGCGAATATGCGAGCCTCAGTTCTTGTTGCAAAACAGAGAAAACGCCTTCATATCCTTTGGTAATTTTTTTTTCCAAAAAATAGAATTACTCAGAGAACGTTGCGCCTGGTTGTCAAAGTTAGGCCGCTGCATGCGGAAACTGATAAATTTGCTTGTGTTCTATTTTATAGCACCCCCTAAATTATGGGTAAATTTTTCGCCTTCTACCAAAGATTTCCGTGTGAGTTTGCTATACACGTAGTTTATATAAATATTAAATTGTCAAGAAAGAAAAACAACCGACTAATGGACAACGTAGGAAAGGATATGACTCCAACCTGCGTCTGATACAAACAAGAAGACTATCTCAGTCTAGTCTAGCGTCAAGGTGCGCGAGAGGACTGGTACCGCAAGTGGGCCGAGCGCCGACCACCACTAGGTAACGAAGTAGCCTAACCGCAGCACTTTAAATCAGAAACAAACATGCGTAATCGAATCAAAGCAGTAGGTAGAACGTAAACAATGTACGGAACAAGGAGGGCTCGAGGATCGCATACTGTCACATTAGCTTTCTCTGGACCAAATGAGTGGATTTTCGTTTTGATGGCAGTCTAACTCGGCTAACGTTCAGCCTGGCTGAAATGATTTATATCTGACAATCACTGTGCTATAATTATATGAAGTCAGGGTTAACTTATTAGCCTTGCTAATTGTTGACGTAACAAGTCTTAAACAGTTAGCTCTGCATCGATGCATATTGCTTGAGCATTATTGGTTGCTGCATATGCTAACCAATTTCCAGATACACGCCGACGGCAAACCAATTATATGCAATTATTTTACTGATATTAAGCGAGTAGTCGTTTTTGACCAGTCGATGGTTGTTTACTTTTCGCCTGCAAATAATCTATTTTTCGAATGGTCCTTCTGTATC